TTGCAGGCCTCAGCGTCCTCATCTGTAAGCCGGGCACATCCCGGTTCATATGTCACGGGACGGTGTGGGGTGAACGAAGGGGGCCGGTGAGGGCCGGGCTGGTTCTTAGAGCAGTCCCCGTGGCGCCCCACCCCATCTGTCACAGACAGGCCACCACTGTGGGTCTAATTCGGAAACAGCATTTATTGAGGTGTCCCCACAGGCCTGCCCTGAGCCCCAGCCGCTAGCGCCTCGGGCTCACTCTTCCTTCTCGTCCCCATGGGTGATGATGTAGCACAGGGACTTGTAGTCGATGTTCCCGGCCAGGTCCATAGGCGTCAGGGCGAACATCTGCTCCACCTGGGGAGGCACTGGTAAGACGCCGCCCAGCCATGGCGTCCTGGGTGCGGTGCCTGTGACCCGAGGGAGGCCTGCGACCCTTCGCCCCGCCCCTGGGGCTGTACGCTGCCCCGCCCCTGGGGCTGTACGCTGCCCCGCCCCTGGGGCTGTACGCTGCCCCTTAGCGTTTTCAGCCGGAGGCTGGGGCAGGAGCGAAGGGTGCGGCCGTGGGTCACAGGGCCCACCCTGGCCACGGGGCCGGCCCCCTTCCCCTCCCCAGTGTAGTTAACCTCTTCCAGACCCTGAGGTGCACCGCACTCTCAGGCCTGGGCCTCTGCACACACAGCTCGCCCAGCCTGCACCCTCCTCCCTTTCTGATTCCATGTCCTTCACCCTCCAGATCCCAAGAGAGATGGCACCTCCTCCGGAAAGCTGGGCTCTACGCCCACGAGGGCAGTGGGTCACCGAGACCTCCCCAGGGCCCTGCGGGGTGGGGGCCCTGCGAAGGGGCCTGGAGGGGTGTCGAAGGAGCCGGAATCTTTACCTCGGCCAGAGAGAACTTGTCTGCCTGGGTCAGGAGAAGCTGCTTGAACCTGGAGGAGGTGGGGAGCAGTGGGGAGGGCCTGGCAGGGGCGGCCGATCCAGGAGGGGAAAATGGAGGCTCCCCTGGCCCAGGTGGCCACCCCCCCGCAAGAGCAGAGAGGGCCCCAAAGTACAGGTGGCCACCCTCACAAGGCGACCCTCCGCCCTCCCTGCTTCCATCCAACATGGTGCCCCCGGCACTCGCCGTGCTGCCCGCACTTACTCATCCCTGTTTACCACGCCCTTGCCACTGGGGTCAAACAGGCGGAAGGCGCTCAGGATGGCTTCCTCGGGGTCTGTCCCTGGGAGGCCGAGGGGGCCAGGTAAGCAGCCACACTGCCATCCTCCCGGTCCCACCCAGGAGGAACCCAGGGTGCAGGGGGAGTCCTCCAGTCCCAGAGAAGCGAGAGGGTGTTCCGACAGAAAGTGCCCCTCGGGGCTCAGAGGTGCCAGGGTCGGCTGTCCTTCTGAGATGGGTGAGCCTGGCAGGGAGACTAGGATTGGGGATTTGGGACTGGAATCTGAAGGCATATTTCCCAACCCCGAGACTTGGGGTGACCAGTGCTCATGGGTCTGGAATGCAGAGGTGGCCCCTACAACCTCTGGGTGGGCAAGGGCCAGGTACGGTATGGACGGGGTCTGGGTGGGATTCAGGCTGGGTCCAGGCAGGGTCCAGGTGGGGTTCAAGCTCGTTGCCTGGGGGATCCAGAGCCACCCCAGGCTCACCGTTGAGCTTCTCTCCAAACAGTGTGAGGAAGACAGTGAAGTTGATGGGCCCCTTCCCTTCCTGCAGCATGGCATCCAGCTCCTCTTCTGGAACATTCACCTTCCCTGGTGGGGCGCGAAGTGAAATGGACACAGGGACCTTGAGTGTCCCTGAGTAGGGCCTGGGCTGCCCCTCCCTCCTTCCCAGCGTAGAGAGTGAGAGGCAGCTCTGGGTGGGGGAGGTGAAGTGGAAGGAAAGTGTGATGGGGGAGGGGTGTGAGAGGACGGGGGCGGGTGAGCCGGGAGAAGAATACAGGCCTGGGCGCTGCCTGTTGAGAGCCTGCCCATCCCCTCTCAGCGGGCTCCCCCCAGCCCAGCAGCTCTGAGCCAGGACCCTGGTGCCAGCAGGGCAGGGCCGGGTGGGAGGTGGGCACCCTCACCTAGCTGCGAGTAGGTCTCTCGAAGGTCCGACTTGCAGATGATGCCGTCACGATTCTGGTCGATGCAGCTGAAGGCCTGTGAGGTGCGGGCCACAGTCTCCAGGTGGGAGCATTCCCCACCCCCCCGGGGGAGGCGGGAGGTGGGGGCATCCTGGGTGGTGGGAGGAGCAAGGACAGGGGCCAGGACCACTGACCTACAGAGAAGAGGGGTGTGCTGGGGGCAGGGTGTCCGGATGGGTCCCAGGCTGGGGGTAGGGCACTCACTTCCTTGAACTCCTGGATCTGGGCTTGCTCAAACATGGAAAAGACGTTGGAAGAGCCTCGCTGGGCCTGCTTGGTGGCCGCAGCCTTGCCCCGGGTCCCTGCCTTCCTGCTGGCCTGCAACACAGTGGGCGCGGAGGGGTCCTCTCCCCAGCTCCCCAAGGACTCCCTGCCACGGACCTCCCCAGAGCATTCCCGGGAGAGCCCGGGTCAGGGTCCTCTTCCTGTCCCTGGAGACCGTCTCTCCGGGCCCTGGCTCCGCTCCCCCAGCCCAAAGGACAGCACCTGGGGGGCCGCTGGCCTTGAGTCTCCCCCCCTGGCACTCACCATCGTCTCTCTCTGCAGCAGCCTGGTTGCTGCGAGGGGCCCACAGCCCCCTTTATGTCTCAGCCTTATCACCTGGAGCGTACCAAATAAGGACAGGAGGAGAGGATAGGCCCAAACTTGGCAGCCTCTGCCTGGGCTGGGGGAGGACAGGGCCCCCGAGCAGATTCCAGCCACGATCCTGGCGACCTTCAGGCACCACCACCACCACCACCCCCC